GAAGAAATTTTAAGTTAAGAAAATGGCAAATAATTTTTAGTAGCCATTTTTTATGCATGCAGCAAAGATAACCTAAGATCAGTATTACTCTATACTACAAAACTAATCTAAGTACAGTTAGGTCACAAAAAGTATTCTTTCTTGCTCAAACAGTAAAAGACTTAAATCACGCGAAACTAAACCATAAATACGTCGACATATTTAACAAGATTACAATTCATTGCAAAAAAAAAAAAGAACTACTCTAATTTAAGATTATCTTTTTCTTTTAATAAAACCGCAATCCGTAAGTAAATTAATGTAGTTTTGTAGTAAGTATATATTTAGAACATATAATTTTAACTAATTAATATAGTCGAAGATAAATTATTACTACTTACATTTTATCCTATGTAATTTAAGGTTCCATCTTTATGACAATTTCTTCGACTGCATAGTCTTTTTCTTTTCTTTTTATATCAATTTTAATAATAAATGTTTGCCATTTTTCTTTCTCCTTTTTAAATTTTTCAGCTGTTCTAGGAGTAAATTTAAAAGTAATTCGAGTAGCTAAACTACAATTCTTTACTAATATAACATTTTTAAATAAGAGCATAATATTACGACTCCGTATCCCTTCTAAATTCTAGATTGAAATTAATTAAAGAAAAAAAAAAGGTTTCAGATATTCCTAAGAAAATTTTAAATCCAATTATTCATCCATACTCAGAATTAATAAGACTGCGCATCTCTAATGTAAATGAATAGATTATATAGAATCAGTTAATTATTATCGTCTGCTTACATCGTGAATAAAAAGAAAACGATAATAAAATGTATATTTAAATTAGAGATACAAAAAAATTTAAACTAAATAAATATCAAAAAAATATATAAAATTTTAAGAAGTTTAAGGAAAAAAATTGAAATTTTTTTAATGCATTTTTTTTTTATTCCATTTGAAATAGACCTAAAAAAATCTCCTTGTCCAAAGTCAAGATTTTTATAAAATTATGTAAGAATCTTGCATACATAATGAAAAATGACTAAAATAAAAATATGATTAGGGAGAAATCGGGTGCTAGATATTACTGAAGAAGTGAAGTGATTATGCCGAACCATGTGATTTAAATCAGATTTGATGGAATACCAGCAAGTGACATAGTGTGGGTATCTCGATCTTGATTGATTGTTGAAACGTGGCATTTGTTTAGGTTAGAAACTGTCCTTTCCATTCAATTTCCAGTACGCCAAGCCCCTCAAGTATCAATTCTCTTAAGTGAACACATTGTATTTCTTTCACTATATATTTCTTACCTAACACAAAGACAGACATGAAACAACGCAGAACTTAAACAAACTTATCAGGCATCGAAGTTGCTAGGGACACAAAACAAAAATATATTACGGCTGCAATAAAATGCATAAACAAATAATAAATGCAATTTAATTGAAGGACGTAGAAGAAGGATTAATTTTCATTAAATTCGATGTGTGAAACGACTCTGTATTTAATTAACTTCCCCTTGATTTGCTTAACGAGGACCAATACCGCACACCCTCTGTCCCTACGCAGACTGATCCAAGTGGTCAGTCACCCGCCCGCAGCCAGTGATGCTTGACTTCGGTGATTTGCTGGGAACCGTGTCTTAACGATCAGTCCACTGCGGGACCTTTAACAAGCTATTTTGCTTGTAAACGATCACCTGGCTTTGACGTCATTGGTCACGTGTGTGGGTTTTCGTGGTCTTCTTCTTGAAGTTAAAGTTCCCAAATTGAATGCTTGCAAGTTCCTTGACTTCAATGTTTTTCTAATAATATGAAATATCTTAAAAGAAAAGGTGCGAAAGGTGAGGAGAAAAGGAGTGATCCCTAACCATGTGAGTGAATACCTGTAAGCGACGTCGCGTGCATGCATCAAACCTCATTGGCTTCTGCATCGACAAATGCCACGATTTACCTACGATGACGTTACTTGCAGGTATCCAATTCAGACAGCCTACCTATTGATATCATCAATTTTTTCCCCCCCAAAAAACTTTCTGAATGAGTAATGTTTATATCTGACCACAGTATGTAAGTGACCAGAATGCTTGTACTTGGAATCAGATAATTTTATGAGGAACACAGCAAACATCACACAAGTATTAAATCATAATTAAATTGCTACCCACTTGGTCTTGTCAATGTAATTTTCATATAATTTACTTTTATGGGGTGACTCTCAGACCTCAATAGATTAATTCTCAGCATTTAGTGAGCATTTTAGTCCCCATGATTGTGCAGTTAATACTTCCTATTTTCCAGGACATTGGAAAATCTAGATATTTTACTTTTCATGTTACATACTAGAGTCTTTCAACAGTTCTGTGTATTACTCCTCTACATCAGATGCAAACATACAATAAATTTCCAAACAACTTCTATTTCTTTAATCTGGGTGCGTAGCCAAATCATTCAACAAAAAATAAGCACCTTTTAAACACTTCAAAAAAATATCATAATAAGGCTGGTTTGGAAAGTTTTTGACAATTGACGGTTTTATCTTGTTTTAACTGTCATATCAAAAAAAAAATTTTTTTGGCATTGTTTTTGACAATTGTCATAGTTTTTGACAATTGTCAAAAACCATGAAATTTTGAAACGTGTAAAATGAATGGCGTTTCCATACGTTTTTTTTTTTCATTATCACCGCCTATAACATACACAATAATTCTGCCAAAAAGAAGTAAAACATCTACACGCATTAAAGATAGCAAATTAATTTAAAGTGAGGAAGAAATACAAACTATCATAATATATTAAGTCACTGGTATTGAAGGAAAAATGAAAACCAGTTCAATTGCCTGATCACTTTCTAATACTTTCAATCTTGCCTTTATTCTGCAAATCACAATAACGTTTCTTATTCCTAGTTGAAACATTATATTGTGATCCCTAATGTGTACATTTTTCTTACTTCATTTTTAACAGACACTGAAAACCCTATACAAAAGAGTTATCGATGCTAAACCGAAAGTTTTACCTGACCTTAATATTTGAAATGTTAGTAAAATAAGGTAATCAGAATTGGTTACAGCTTATCTGCGCTTAAAATGTTTGCTGTGCAATTATCACTTTTTGTATATTTGTGTAAGTTGTTTGTATAACGTAGTGAAATCAAATTTTATTTAACTAGAATGAATTGATAGAGTGTAAATTGCTACCACTTTACTGAAAGAAAATCATGAAGAACTAATTGACAAGTTACGATGGTTATAAGCGGAAGCAAAAATTAAAAACTAATTCTTTAAATTGTTTTTTTTTTTTTTTTTTTAGAGTTATATAGCAAGGGTTCGCAATTCTGCGCAAGAAATGGCACACCACTTCTTCACAGAAAAAAGATATAACCTTCTAATAGCATCGATCCCAAAAGACAAGATTGCAAAGTAGAAGGTATTCTTAATAAGTAATTTCAGCTATATTTATTTAAAATTTTGTTTGCTAAAATTATTCTGTAATTAGGGGAAATTTCACACCTGTAACGCTTTTCATATTGTCAATTATAAAATTATCAGCAATTTATATAATTTTATTATAAATATAATTTCATCAGCAATTATAAAATCATGGATTAAAGTAGAATATAAACTGCTGTTTGTAGAAAATGCAACACCATGAAGGAATCATCAGAATCAAATGAAATATTATTTTANTTTTTTACCTTTCTTCTATTAAGTAAGGTAAAAAAGTATTTATTGTATTCAATATTAAATAAATAACAAATTTAAAGTAATAGAGTTTGAGGATCAGCGGTTGAAGAATAATGCAACAGAGAAACTTATTACAGTCAGACCTCGATATAAGGTCACCCCGCATATAAGGTCACTTTTCCAAAGTCCCAGCTCGCTGAATAGGAATTCTTTGTTACAGATTATCGGATATATGGTGAAGATTTAAAAATCGCTATCGCTTATCAGGTCATTTTTATCTGAGGCGTAGCATGGTGTCCAACACATGCATAGCAAATTGTTTTCTTCATGCTAATTTTGTGAGTTCTCTGAATACTGTGGATGATGAAACCCAAGAAGATAATATTTCTCTATCTGTTCTAATGGAAGATTTGAAAAATCGTGGCCATGCCAATGAAGAGGAAGCTGAATATGGTTTGATTGATAAGGAAATTGCCACTACTTCTGAAGCTACGATTTCTGAAATTGTTTCACAAGTTGTTGACAGTGATCCTGAGACTGTAATCCAACGGAAAGCCTTCAATGCAATAAATGCTATACGAATTTTTTTTTACAAACCATGAGGGAACTGAGGAACATTTTGAGAAGTTACAAAATCTAGAACACATTGTTCGAAAAATGAAACAAAAAACGAGACAGACCTGCATAAATGANAAACATTTGCTCTAAGATGTAATGTATGTATGTACACTTTGAGGAAATTTGTAAACAGCTTTATTTTAAATAAAAAAAAATTTAAAATCTAACTTTCTTGAATTCTCTACTAATTCTGTTAAAATTTATTGACTTAAATATTTAATTTACGGCCGATCGTTCTCGTTTGTCTTACAATTTTTAAAAAATCTTAATGTGCACTATTTACGGGCTTAGTCATGAACTGCTAATGAATCGGTTAAAAGGTCACCCCGCTTATAAGGTCACTTTTGCGATGTCCCTTAGGGTGACCTTATATCGAGGTCTGACCGTATTTTTAAAAATATATTTTAACTATTTATTGAAAAACTCATTATTTTTTCAAAATTTCAAGTCTATTAAAATTTCTTTGTTGCTCATTCATTTACCAAAATAAGTTTAATATTCAAAAGTATATATTTAGGTCCTTAGAATAGATCCAAAGATTCCTTTCTGATAAATCATAAATGTCAAAAGTTATGTTTTTTTAAAGCATAAATATAAAACAAATTTTAGTTTTCACATTCAAAAATATAAAGTTCACAATTTAATGTAACTGTCTAAGAAATAAATGTATATATATATATATAAATTAAGTAATATATAAATGATTCAAAATTTACATAAAAATTAATTTTTATTATCAAAAACAAACATTCTGAAACATAATCTTTAGATGGAATCTTTCATTGTAATACGATTCTGGCCAAATTAAATTTTAATACAGATTAAAGTAGACTTAAATCTTAAATTTAGTTTAAAATATTCTTTTATAATTAATCAACATTTTAACTTTATGGTTTTGAATACATGAAAACTATAAATTTTATAACTTAATATTTATTCTATTAAAAAATGCAAACATATGACCCAAAAATGTAACTTTAGCCTTATTCCTAAGACCTAAATATTTTTTGAAACTGACAAAATAACTATTTGGTAAACATGGGAATTTTTCATCGATTAATCGAAATTTAAATTTTTATCAAAACATTAATTGGATTCAATTGTAAATCAAAGTTAATCTGAAAACTGAATATTCAATTAAAAATTGCTAGATTTCGTAATCAGAACTTAGTATTTATTAACTAAACAGTTAGATAGATAGATAGACTTAGAGGTTGGGCAGCTCTGACGAGCAGGGCACATCGACCAGAGGTCTATTGTACCCAAACCCTAAAATCATGATTAGCATGAGAGCCCTATGGCTGAAATAAAATTCAGCAAGCACCTTACAGGAACATCTTGCAGTTCCCAGGCATTGACAATATGCTGTCCTAAATGCTCAAATCTTTGAGCAGAATAGACCTCACAATCACAGAGTATGTGTCGTGATGTCTCTTCTTCTAGATGACATCCCCGACAAAGAGAATTTGATTCAATTCCCATAATGTTTAGGTGTCTTCTGAGGATACAGTGACCAGTAAGAAGACCAATGATCTTCCTTATACTGTTTCTGTTAAGCTTTAAGAGCTCCTTTTGACGTACACTAGGACAGTCTCGATTCAGCTCCTTAGCTTGTCTTTGACCGTCAGCAGCGCGCCACTGCTCATGGGCGATCTTGCCGTAGAGCTTGAATATGGTTGCCCTAAATGAGGAGGGAGAAATTCCCAGCGCAGGTTCAGGGCCCCAGAAAATTGCATTAGAGCTAGCCCGTGCTGCTTCGTCAGCTAGCTCATTTCTACCTAAACAGTTGCAATAACTATGAAAGCAGCCAGATATTATTTTAACAAAAGTGAAAACCGACCCTTATTTCATGATTTTCTGAGACTGTTGAAATATTAATTAGAGTCAAAACATTTTAAGTAAACTGTACAAAGCAATTACCAAAAAACTTTAAAATAATTCTCCATCAAACTATTCTTTGTTACAGCCTCTTCAAAATAGTAAATATGCGGAGAGTTTTAATTAAAGTTATTTTTGTTTGAGTTTCTACATTTGAGTCTAAACAAATCAGGTACAACAGATAAGATACTTCAGTTGCTTAAGTACAATTTATGGACAGCCCTCAAGTTGAACATGCTAAATTTTTGCAATTATGCAATTGCTAATTCAGAGTTGCCACAGTAAAAAATGAACAAAAATAGTTGCTTTTAGAAGCCTCATGCCTAATAGAAGGGAAAAACAATTAAAAATAACAAAACTGCCTCTCAGAGAGAAAATATAACAAGTACTTTATTAAAAATAATGGAAATTTAAATTTTTGGCTTTCTGGACATAAATGATTGTATAAAAGTTTGTTTTCTTTTATTAACGTTCTAAAAGGTAACACTCATTTTTGCGAAAAAACTTCGCTAAGAGTAAAAAAGTATCCTAATAGTCGCCTATTCCTGAAAATAGATGCTTTTTTTGCCTTTTCAGTCAAAAAAAGTCGCCTAAGGCCAAAAATAGTAGCAAATAGTCGCATTTTAGTAGTCTGTGGCAACCCTGCTAATTAGGCTTTATTTTTAAATCAAATGAAGAAAAACTGACAATCAAGAGTGTTAAAATAAAACTAGAAATTTTTATTTAGATAAAAAATTTTTTTAAAAGTGAAAAAATTATTTTATTTTAAGACTGAGGATGGAAGAATTGTACTCCTGATGAAGAGTATTTATAAATGGCAAGGAATAACTTTTAAACAAATTTTTTAATTCAATAAAATAAATAATTCTTTGTATAGTAATTCCCATAGATTATTTCTTTTCATCAGATTAATATTTTTTGGAATGAAAAATGGGGTTAAATTTACACAACTAAATTTGTTTTAAAATAACATATTTTAAAAATTTTTTTGTCATTTTTAATTAAAGTTATACATGAAGGATTGAAAAACTAACTTCAAATTGTAACACATAATTTTCATAAATTCAGCAAAAAAATATTAAAAACTAACATTCAAAAACAGGATACAAATAACTTGAAAAAACAAGATTTTTTTTAAAGTTAAAAATATTTTATATCCATGTATGATACAACATTTATAAAAATGCTAAGGATAACAATCAGTAGCATTTATGAATGCAATAAAAGAAGAAGTTGATTATTTTTCCAAGTTTAATTTTCAGAATATAAATTTTTTTCTTCTTTCCATGTTAATGAGAATGAAAAAAGTCTAATATTCATGAAATCTACATACATAAAGAAACTATGATACTTTACAGAAATTATAAACATATTAGTATCATTTAATTAAGGAGTTTATGGCCATATTTATTCTTCGGAGGCAACGAGAGAGTTTGTGATTGGGATTCCTAGATAAAAAGGTGCTGATACGATGTTGAAGATTCTCCAAAACTGTACGAATGTGATCTCGTGTGATAGCATTATCATTATCCAAACATGGAATCACTTCCTCAATATACCTTGCAATAGAAAAAAAAAAAATCACAAAATTATTTAAATAAAACACAACACAAGACTAACATATTAGTTTTATGCCCTCTTGCTTTAAGAAATATTATTAACTATGAAACTATATTCTGATTTACTATAAGAAATATTCTTTTAACTAAAGTAATAATTACTATATATGTAATTCAAAATGAAGATAGAACACAAACAAACAAAAAATTTTCTAAAGCAACTCACATAGGCCTAGAGCACATTGACCTTAATTTAAATTCAAAACATAAATTAGGTATAGCTGAAATATGTTTAATGCTAGCAAATTATTTTACATACAGCAAATGGAAAATTATAATTTTACAGTTTAACATTACTCCTATCCACTTTCAGTCACTAATTTTGTTTATTTATTAGTCTACTTTGAAATACAATAATTTACCCTTGCATTATTTCTTTGGATAAAACCTTCATTATCAATAAAATCATCCTTTAAAAAGGATCACACAAGCACTAAAGAACATATTTATAAAAATATTTCCAACTAAATAACTTATTTAAGAAAAAATCAGTTGATTTAAATCAATGATCTCTCTATAAAAAAAAATCTAGTGATTTAAATCATGCCAAACCGGTAACAATTCTAATTTTGTTTCACCCAAACTTGCTCAAGTCAAAAAACAATGCATTTTCAAATCGCAGCAAACATAGGCTATAACCAAATTACGTGGTTCCCCTTCTTTTGTTCGTGTAAACAATACAAAACAATGGTATGTTAAATTCTTATATTGTACTATTTTTTTTCTTTTTAATATTTATAACAATATCTTTTATGTTGAATACTTTTGTGTAACTAATGGGATAACCATTAAAGAAAATTAGAGGGTCTGTTTTTTTAAAAACAATTCATCCTTTTATAGCAACCATTTTACATTGCTTAGAACCAATACAGTACAACCATTTAGTAAACTTCCAGAATTATTATTTTAAAAAAACTATTATAATAGAAGAATGCAGAATGAGAACAATTTTAAAAGAAATTATCTGTTTTTGTAGTAGAATTGCTTTTAAGGCTGCTTAAGCATAAAAAAGCATCTCAAGTAGCCTAGTGCAAAAAAGTTACATTTGAACAATCTGTGACTGTCCAATATTAAAAATTATATAATGTTTTCAAAAAAATTTAAATTGCAATAAAAGTCCACAAAATATAGGCATAATTCCATGATTTTCAAATTTGATATAAGTCATTGCAAATCGTTGAAATTTTAAAAGAATTAAAATTCTATAAATACATTTAGGCAACCAATGCTAAGTCTATGCAAGTATTCAAAATTTTGGCACAATTATTTCAGATAATTGGCATAATCAGATTCCATAGTTCTGAGTAATAAGGATCAAATAATTTGGAATACTTTCATCACTTTGTACATAAATAACTCTTAGACTCGAAACTTGCAGTACAAATCAAAGTAAACAGTATGTTGTTGAATTACCTGACTTTTATTTCAGTTTTAACATTAAGATCTGCTGACAATTGGTTAACTAATGATAACATTACATGTTGTTGCAAAGGGCAGGGAGTAGGCCCAAACACTTGTTCAACGTTTACAGATTCACAAAGATACAACACCAGCTGAACATCCATAGCAGTGAGTGCCTAGAAATAAAGATGAAAATTGTCACTTTTTTTTTTCAACAAACAAAATTTTTTTTCACAATAAGCATTGAATAAAAATTTTCAAAATATCAATATACTACTGAAATAAAAGAATAAATTTCCCCCGACTCTTCCAGATATATTTTTCAAATTCCCAGTCTAATATTGCAGTATGAACTAACAGTTTCATGTTCACAATATAAAGTGAACCACAAAAAATTTATATTACTAATTTATTCACGATGCTGTATATTTTATATCTATTAAAAAATATTACACCACAATACAGAGAAAAAAATGGCATTAAAGACCATAGAAAGGTATATTTAAAAAAAATCTCATTTTAACTCTCTCAGCCAATACAGAAACATCAGAAAAAATACCCTTGTTTAATTTTGCATCTGTTAAATTTTGTACCCTTGTTTAATTTAATCTTAAACATTGCACCTGCGTGATACGGAAGAAACAAAAATGAGCAGGAGTGAAGTTTTTTTTATAAAAAAGGGTATCTTAAGTCTATGTATATTAAAATAAAATGCTGTCTTTCAACATATATTAAAAAATAAAGGAGAGATAAAATTATAAAAAATAATCTCAATTTATAAATGAATCATTTTATTATTATTAATAAAGATAAACTTGCTTAGAATATTAATATGTAATACAAATTAAATAAAAAATAAACCAATTTTACCTATTAGAGGTTAAAATTACACATATAAAGCCAAATGCAAAAGAATGAAAAGTAAAGTATTAAGAATAATAATTAATAAAATAAATACACTGCAATAATAAAGTTATTTAAATTAACAAATTCAGAATTCAAAAGAACATTGCATAGCATAAGGAAATGAAAGATATATACAAAAACAAAGATTAGACATGAGTAGGACTGGGCTATAAATCGATATATTGCGACATATCGATTTAACGCCTGTATTGGCTGGCCGATACAGTGACTTTCGTTCCAGGCGATGCATCAGAAATCTGATTTAAGCTGTCGAGTAAAGAAGACGAACGGTATAGCGATACAAGACACGAAAGGATATCTTACATTCTAATGCCAACTCGCGCTGGGGAAGACGATGTACGTATCATTATATTGAAACGGCCTTGATTGATGAGCGGTAGAATCAGAATCAGTTTTGAGAACATATATCATGATCTCGCATGTTCGTTTCCGCACCTCGTAGTTTTTTTTTCTTCTTTGTCGCGACTTGATATAGTTTCTTGTAGATTATTTTCAGTGGGACTGACTTTGTGATCGTTACCTTGTTCTGAACGTAATCTATTATTGAAAAGAATATGTAAAGAAGTGTTTCTTAATTAATTAAGTAAATTTTTTTTGAAACAAAACTTTCTTTTTTATTTTTAAATGTGAAAATTAATTTTGATATTATATGTTTAAGTATTATTTTACATTATTGAATTTATTACAAACGGAAATCTAATTTAAGGTGCCCATAAAGAATTAAATTAAAAAGTAATTAAATTTGTTAGGCTATTTTTTACTTTATTTTAATTTATTAAAAGTTTTTTGGATAAAATAATAATTTAATGGGTTTTTATTACTGAGTTTAAATTTATAAATCTTTAGTTGTTTTCATTTTTATAAATAAAATTATAACAAAACTTATTTTTCCTCTTTTGGATTTGGACATAAGTCAATCAACTTTGTTTATTCAAAAAAATTAGTAATGTTTGCGATTGCGACTTCTTTTTTTAAAATCATTTAGCACTTCGTTTTATTAAAGAGTATAATCGTGTTTTTTAATTTTCTTTCAATATTGTCAGTTGAATATATTATCGAATATCATAATTCTTTTGTTTTTATTTTTAAGAAATTAAACCTTACTTTGTTTTTTCGTTCAGAATTCGGTAATTATTCAATTTAACTTTATTATTTATGTGAAATAATAATGATAAAAAATAGTGTTGTTTTAAAAGTGTTTTTTTTTTTTGTTTAATTTATTTAGCACTTTGTTTTAAGCATACAAATAATTTTTAACGAACTTATTTTTTAAATTTTCTTTCTATATTGTTAGGTAAATATATTGATAAATTTCAATTTTATTTATTTTTTTATTATTTATTTTTAAACTAAGAAATCTTTCGTTATTTGCGCGATCATTTTTAGAAAATATAACATTAATATCTTTCTTAAGCAAAACATATACATCAAATTCATAAATTGATTTAAATCAATCTGAGTATGAAGTTTTGATAAAAATCCGACTTTCTGCGCCTTACAAGTAAATGAATTCCAAAAATACTATATCGCGATACATCGGTATGCAAAACTGACGATGCATCACAATATAAAATTTCTTATATCGCCCAGTCCTAGTCATGAGAAATTTCAACATTTTAGTGTGATTAATAAAAAATTTTGCAAGAAAAGATACTACCAATATATAGCTAGATAAGTGGGGGGAAATGTGACTATTTTCACTGTTATATGGTGTTTCGCGAAAAAACTTTTGACCACAAATTTTTCATACATTTTCATATACAAAAATGCGTTAATCAGATTATTACTGGAATTAAGTATTAAAAAGAAGAAAAAATGTTAGAATTGCAATGTTTTACAGGAATAATATCACTTAAAATAATATATTCACTATTTCTGGCTTTCTTTCTTAAATAAACAAACAAGTCAATAATATTGGCGTATCTTTGTTATTGTTGTTAATTTACGTCGCACTAGAGCTGCACAATGGGCTATTGGCGACAATATTGGCATATCAAAAGTATAGCTGCATCTTAGTACCCTAAAATGACCAATACCTACAACTCTTGAATTAGAACTTAATACATCAATGGAATTTAAAAGGAGAGGGAGATCATTATAAATAGAGCCACAAGTAGAGATAAACAATCAATACAATTTGAAAAGTATACTTTATCTTTCAAAATATAAATAAGGTATACTTCTTGAAAGGCTTCATTTAAATTCCCTTGCATCACCAACTTTCTCAATTGTTGTTTTTGAAGTTGAGGATCAGCGAGAGGAACTGGGGTGGTTGAGCGGGAATTCAGAACAGCATTTTGCTGTTCTCTCAACATTTTTCGAGTTTCCTCCTGAACAATCTGGCGAACACTTGCAAGAAGAGCTTCATGTTGTCTAAAAGACAATTATTTATTACACACATGAACATGTTGAACAAGAAATGTAATAAAAAGAAAATCAAATTTGTAGAACTGAATGCAAGAAAAGCACCAATAATTTAATGCTGCAAAACAAGATACAGCTAATGAAAACTATCTTTGGCAATAGGAACAAAAATATGTAGGAAACCTATCACAACTTTATAAACTGACAATATCTAAGATAGGGGTGTACAATTTTTATGAGTGATGGGCCACTTGCATATTTAGTCATATTAGTGGCAAATATGATAATTTTTATATAAACAATAGTGATCTAAGCACTAAATATTTTTATTAGCAAACTTAATAACATATTTACAGAAAATGAAATACTTTAAACTATTTGAATTTATTCAAAACTAAAAAAACTGATAATTTTTTTTACAAAAATTTTTTTTCACATTTTTCACAATAATTAATTTATCAAATATTTATATACATACAAAAATATTGGGAGGGAGGATGTAAATTCTAACCAAAAAAAAAACTTACAAAATAAAAGTGCAAAAAAAAAAATTATTGAGTAATATTAATTTAAATTAAATATTTTAATAAAAGAAAATTTATAATGCTTAAACAAAAACCAAATGAAAAGGAAACATTTATAGCGGAATAATGTTATAAAGTTAATAATGTTATAATAATGTTATAATTATGTTATAAAGGAAAAATTTATTAAGTTCCCATGGGCACACATCAATAGTCGTTGGCCACAGGCTATAGGTTGTGCACCCCTAACCTAAGACATAGAAATAAAACAGTTTTAAGAGCTATTTATGTTTCGAAAAATTTATTAAGAACTTAATATTTTATTTTTTACATTTCCTCTTTAAGGAAATGGTGAAAACTTCAAATAATACAAGGCAAAGAAATAAAAAAATCACTTTTGTTTCAAAGAAATTCCACTTATTTGTTCAGAAATATATTAAAACTCTTGAAGTAAAGTAAATAAAGGGCCTGACAAAAGTTGACAAGATTTTTACCCTTCCAATATGGCCTTTGTCAATATTATATTATTTTAGGGAAGCACAGAACAGTGAAACTATGTCAGATTTTATTCCACGAAATCGCATTTTATATTTTTAAGAGATTCTCAAAACTAAGTCCGTGCAGAATTTACACCCTTCCAAATTGCACTTAAAAAGCCATGGATTCAACGTGGAGCCACGATGTAATCATTTTGTGAAGACAAAGAACAATGACAATGTAAGCAGATTACCCTGCTGCTGCTAACATATAAATAGATGTAACAGAGATCAGATACATAAAAAATTAAGATTTAAAATTTTATACAGTTTGGAAAACATGAAAAATTAAACAATAATTATAATTATTAGAGACAGACAATTTAACATTATATGCAGATTTACCAAATTTAAAATAAAAAAAATGTATGCAATAATTTCCGTCAAAAAATACATCAAGTTTTAGAAAGAAAAATTTTATTTAGTATAATATGCTCTTTGTATTGATAATAAAAATTTCTAAAATTTTTTTATTGCATTTATTTTTAGAGGATAATGGCATCTGTTTTAACTCAGAAATGTTAGGTGCAGTATTTTACAACTAATATAATACCTCATATGAATGAACAGGTGGATTGGGATTAAAACTACTTTTGAGCCAATACAGCAATTCCTCAGTAAAATATGTGTATTTAAGTTACATCAGCCAGTCGGTGAAAACAAGGTATTAAACTAAGATTGCTTTGTTATAGAACCACACAAGAAAATACATAAATTGGTTTAATTTTTGAAAAAAATATTTTCAAATGTTTACTTAGTAAACAAATAAAAGAAACAATAATGCCTTACTTTACTATATTTGTATTAAGCGTCTCAGACTTCGTTATTTGAGCATGCAGATTTTGTTGAGCATCAACAACAAGTTTTTTCATTTCATCTTTGACACTGCTAGCAACTGTTTCAAGTGTAGTACTAGACTGTTGATTACTTCTTTCAAATGACTGTAAATCTGCATTAGAAATGATAAAGAACAAAAAAATATTGAAAATACAATAACATAGAGCTTAGCTTTCAATAGTGATAGAAACTTTCAGGAGTTTTACCAATCGCTGAACAGAAAAAATAATAATTTAATTTGTCTTTATTGCTTTATTTTTTTATCTTGATAGTTCCAAAAATATGCAGCTTTAGAAACACATAACATTTCAATTAATAAAACCAGAGAAAGTGTGAAAACCTGTGAGAAGCAACAATTTAAAAATAAATGCCCTAACAAACTCTCAAATGAATAATTAAATAGTATCGAAAAAAAATTTAATTAAACACAAAGCTAAACATATTAAGAAACTAAAATTATAAAAAATTTAACCCTAACCAATTTATATGATATAAAGCCTTACTCAGAAAGTGTTTTGAATGAATTAGAGCTTTTATTTCCAATTTTAAACAGTAGCAACAATTATACAAATTTAAGCAATTGAGTCATATTTATGTAAAATGTTTGACACTTTAAATAAAAAATGTTACTGAAAAAATAACCTTTTTAAGGGATATTAAAAAAAATTTCAGTAAATAGCATAAGAAATTTCATCAAAACATATGTTAGTAATTTTCTGAAAAAGCAGGCTATTATTGAGCTTCAGTAATGAAACTGTGTGTTTTTAAGATTTAGAGTGTACACTTTAATAAGTTATTTAAATTTAAGGGAGGATTCTACCCTAAGTATCTAAAAAATTCGAAAAAAATTTAATTGCATTTTTCAAATCTTTGTACCCTTCCTAATGTCTGTCTAAAACGATTTCTCGGTACCTAACTTTGTTTGGAAGTTATACTGGAAAATAGAGAGTCATTGCTAAGCAGGTAGAAAGACCCGTTCGACGGATTAGGAGGGGCGACATTCTTTTTGTCTCATCCATTCTGTTGACTGTATATAGAAACTTATTGTAGGCATTTCATTTATCAACCATTATATACATGAAATTAAACGCTTTCCCCTACCATAAGTCAAAACTTTAAACAAGTTTTTCTCAAAACGCTGTTTTTTGACCTGGCCTAACGTTTTTCTCATGATCTATACAACAAAACAAGCTGTTCTTTATTTTAAACTACGTAAAAATATATTCTTTAGAAAGTAGCATAGGATTTTTTTGATATTTTTAAATTTTCGATTTTATATTAGTATTTAAATGAATATTTTTTTAATGAAAAACTTAACTTTTTTTTTAAAGTTGCCCCATTTTGGTAATTTTGCGAATATCAAAAAACCGCTATGCTACTATTTAGATAATGTTTTTATGTTTCAGAAAATCTAAACAAAATAGTTTTCCTATGTTTCAGGACTTCTAAATCCATAAGGCCAGTGAGTTGCTACTTTTTGATGACCAGCCACACACGCAGCTGCCACCAACTTATTTTTTATTATCTTATAAAAGAAAAATTTTTAAAATAGACTTAAATTGTAGCTAAATAATATTAAAAAAAAAGCAAGGAGTCTCTGCATTGTCTAGATTACTTAAAAAAATTTCCAGAAAAATGTTAATATTTTACCATTTCAGGGTGGGGTCCCCCCTTAAAATAATGCCCATAGACATGATCACCACTTTCAAACTTGATATACGAGGGTTGCTATTTATATTTCTGGTCTTGGCAACAGTAAGTGTTGCTAGGCGACCGCAGACGATTTTAATCGAAAGTTTGATATTTTTAAACATAAATTCAGCAGACGATTTACCATTATAGCTTCATTTGTGTTGTTGACAGTAAATTGAAAAGTTCTTCTCTTTCAAAAAATGGAATTGAATCGTGAACATTTTCGTGCCATTATTTTTCATAACTTTCGACGTGGATTGTCAAGACAAGAGTGCTTCGATGAACTTAATTCTTTATTCAGCGATAAAGCGCCATCCTACAGCACTGTAAAAAATTGGTATAACGAATTTAATCGTGGTCGATGTTCGATCCAGGACGAATCCCGTGCAGGTCGTCCAAAATCCGTTGTTGTGCCAGAAAAGATCGATGCTGTGCGTGAACTGATAAAGCAAGATCGTCATGTGACATACCGTGAGATAGAGGCGTCTTTGGACATTAGTATGACTAGCATCAATAAAATATTGCATGAACATTTGAGCGTAAAAAAAATTTGTTCGCGTTGGATCCCGCATAATCTGACAAACGCTCAAAAAAAGGCTCGTGTCGATTGGTGCAAGGAAATGTTGGAAAAATACGTTCAAGGTACATCAAAGGCTGTGTATAACATCTACACAGGTGACGAATCATGGATCTATGCATATGAGCCGGAAACAAAACAGCAATCAACTGTATGGGTCTTCCAAGACGAGGCAAAACCAACAAAAGTTGTTCGAGGAAGAAGCACATCGAAACAAATGATTGCCTGTTTCTTCGGCATTAACGGTCATGTGGCAACAGTGGCGTTAGAGCAACGCAGGACGGTCAATTCTGAATGGTACACGACCATTTGTTTGCCAGAAGTCATCGGAGAAATTCGAAAAAAGCAGAAGAACAGGCGAATCATTCTTCATCATGACAATGCGAGCTCTCACACATCGACTCAAACAAAGGCATTTCTGACTGAGCGAAAGATCTAACTCATGGGTCATCCGCCGTACAGCCCTGATTTGGCACCCAATGACTTCTTCTTATTCTCACACATCAAAAATAAATTATGTGGACAACGATTTTCAACCCCCGAGCAAGCGGATGATCCATTCAAAACGCATGTTTTGGAGTTACCTCAATCGGACTGGAAAAAGTGCTTTGAAAATTGGTTCAAACGCATGCAAAAGTGTATTGATCATCATGGAGAATATTTTGAAAAACAATAAAACCAATTTCGATCCTACATATTTGTTTTTTCATTATTAGGCCAGAAATATAAATAGCAACCCTCGTACTAGGTTTTGCAGGTGTGCTCTAGAAAAAATTGCAACAGATTTTACAAATCATCATTTGTCAAATGATTTTACTATGTGAAATCTAGCAATACTTTATTAAAAAACGCAGACTATAATTAACGTTTAATAAATAGGAAACTTACACTCCAATGTGCCTTTATAAAACACATCATTAAGTTGTTGAAATAGATGCTGAGATGCTTTTTCAAATGAAGGCACAACATTATTGAGGAATACTTCTTTGCATGCAACTTGCACAACACCTTGCAAACTAGTTGATGCAGCTTGAGCGATGGAATCCATAAATGGCTATAAGAGTAATAAAAATTGATATTAATTTTCAATTTCAGTTTGAAGGAATTATAGTAATAAACATGGTCTATAAAAAAAGCTTTTATGAATGACAATGCTTTAAAGATTACTTGTAACATGGATTCAGTGTTTTATACCCATGTTGCCTCATACACATTGCTTCCACATACTTCACTGCATGTTAATATGCAGAGAAACCTCTCGGAAGTGACCTCTCTCCGTTCCGTATTAAAATGGTCATTGATTCTTAGAGGTTACCTCCATTGACTTCAAAATCGTTATTGAAGGTACATGATTATTTGCAAATGATTTTAATTTTAGTCAGTATCCTTTTCTTGGGGCGGAAATGCCACTTCTGTTGGTGCCATGAAAAGACTGGTCTATGAATAAAATTCAGCGTTTACAAAAGTGATCCCAGCTGATATAATTATGTGTAAAAACTAATCTACCAATTATGAATTATAAAGCTAGTTTAAATAAATAAACAATGATGTTTTTCATATAAGTTTGCATTTAATTTTATATTGTAAAAATTAGTTAAAATAACTTTCTTTTCTAATTTAACTTTAAAAGTAAATCATTGATAGCATCGTCATTGGTGCACTCTGACTGCAACATAATGTTGTATCATCAAAGGGAGCTCTCTAAATAAGAGTTGCACATAAATGTTTTGAGTACATTTTAATCTACTTATTTGTTTTGTTAAATTTTTTGCTTTGATATTTTTTAGTGTTTCCTTATTTGGTTTGCCCGATCACTGGGAGAGGTTTTTATGATCTCTCCTGAAGGTTTTTTTCAAAACAAAGTTTATGGAAAAGATTGTGCCTTTTAGAAGTGGTCGTAATTAGAGATGGTCGCTACATAGAGGTGGTCTTTCCTGGAGGTTTCACTGTATTTATCACAACTTGGTCATGATAGAGAAAAATGAAGAATTTTTTCTTACAGTTCAAGATTAACATTAAGGTTATGAATATTTTATCTTATTAATAAAGCTTTTATATATAAAAAATGGAGAATAAACTACCTTGCGGTTCATGCCTTTGTAAAATATGACCCATTATAATAAGCAAACTGGTTTTGGTTCTTTCTTTATCATTTTAACAAAATAATCCATGCAATTAAACATTTTTTAATACAAGAATGCTTAAACAGAAGTAAAATTAATAATTTATTTTAACTTACTTTGCTTTTTAAATGCTTAGCAAAATTTTCTCGAAGACTAGTATCAGTTGCACTAAGTTTTTGATTGAAATCTAGCTGCATCTTTTGGGACACGGTATCAAGCACTCTGTTAATTTCTAAAAGAAAGAAAACGAGAAGACCGTAAGCCTAAAAAAACTTTTAAGAAATTGCTAGATTTAAAAAATTTTCAACTAACGAGGAACAATATTGGCGGAGAGTTCTTGCTTAAGTGTACTTTCAAGTCTATTGCCAAGTGATGAGGACATATCATTTGATATTTTGATAAGCTCTCGCTCTGTTCTTCGGCGTTCTTCATCGGCCTTCTTTAAAACTAAATTTTCCAATCTAGAATCTGGGCTCTAAGCTAAGGATGCATATTAAACAGTAGTAATATAATTAAGTTAATATTTTTTAGGAAAATTTAACAGAATTTTACAAAATAGGTTCACTAGATTTATTTAAAGTACTAAATTGAAATTCTTTAATTTTCAAAATCAATAATTCATAAATTTTTGTAAATGAGTGAAAAAAAATTTTTCTTAACTACTTCCTTTATGGGATTTTATAAGTTAGTACCAATATAAATCTAATAATCTGAAAGATCTTTGTTAGTATCTATTAGGCTGATTTTATGATTAAAAAGTACAAAAAAATATTTTTTTGCTTGTAATTAGAGCGTTAGAAAAAATATATATAAGGGTACCCTTGTCCCATCTGCTCCAATGGATTAAAAACTGTAAAATATGATGTGCTAATTACGCATATTTTGCATTTTAAAGAATTATTTTATTGACTTTCAAACATATAATAAGAGAAAACAAATTATATGCGAAATAAAAACATTTTACTAACAAAATTAAAGGGAAAAGAAATTAATTTCTTTTTAAACAGATAAGTATGCTACTAAGGCAAAGAAAAGAAACCTTTATATAAAGTAAATTTGTAACAGCAGCGGAAAACAGTTTAAAATGAACTAAAAGTAAACTTTATGTTTTTATTTAGAAATGTCATTCAATTTATTTTTCTTTAAATGTTTTCCATCACATGGAAAATGGCAAAGTTATATAGGAAAAAAAACTAGATGACTTTTCAAATTCATATAATTTCATATAAGTAAAATAAAAAAAAACACTATGTTTCAAAAATTTGCATGCAGGTGAGGAATACGATAGTCAGCGGGAACAATACAGAAATATAAGGTTACATATGCCATACAGGAAAGCTACATGCACACAAAGCCAAAAATGAAAAGATGTGAGGTAAGTTACAAATAAGGATATTTCATTACACAAAGGCGATTTCATACAACAATTTTGTTTAAAAAGAAAGTTTGAAAACAAATGTTTGACTTAGTCAGGCAACATTGGAGCAAAAAGTGAAAAACCTTTAAAATTTTATGTAAAAAAAAAATAATAATAAATCTATATCAACTTATATACCATACATGCTTCATATTTAACATAATTTTTTGAACTCACACTTATAGTTAAATTACTTACTAATGTAGAATATAACACTATTAGAGTAACTAATTCAAAAAAAAAACTTACTTCTTACAAGAATCGCGATAATACAAATTGCTATATTGAATTTTTAAATTGCGTAAATACAAATCATAATGCATAGTTTTTTCAATCGCGTATAAATGCGAAAATTGATGTTTGATATTACAAACGATTATAACAATTATTATTAAGAATCGCAGCATTGGATTTTAAACTCTAATGAATATGAGTCACGAAATTGGGATTTAAAAATATGTAAATACAAATCTTGATATTGGACTTTTAAATCACGTCAATAGGAATTGCAATGTACGAGTAATCGCACGAATAAGAATCAAGATATTCGAAGATTCCGACGCAAATCCAAATATTCAAAATGGTGAAAATCTGCCAAACCAAAAGAGTCAAATTGGCAAAAGAATGTATGTAAACGTCTCGTTACTGCGATTTGGAAAAAGCTTTAAAATTTTTTCAGTTAACAAGTTTTTCATTCATGGAAGTCAATGAAGCAATGGTCTTGAAATGGGCAAAAATTGCATGTCCAGCTTCTAGTTTTTAGATCCTGAAAAAAGGAATTGAAATTTTTAGACCCAGAAGACCTGGAATTCCCGGGTACCCCTAGAATACAATTACCCCTGTTTAGTTGCCTTCAGTTGTAAATCGCATCTCGCAATGACAAAGCAATTTTGTATGAAAGACTAGTGAGTAAATAAGGCATCATCTGAACAGCATTTTTAAAACATGTCCAGTAAGATTCTGGCTTATCATGTCTCCGCCAACAAGCTGTTATTTTACAACAGTTGTAAATAACCCAGTACATAAAAAAATAATAAGTAAACTAAATANAAAAAAAAAAAAAAAAAAAACACAAAGAGACTTGAAAAAAAATCATTTCTTTAATTATAATACATTTCTAACATCTTCTAATTTTTAAATCATTGAATATTTTTATTTTTTGCATCATCATGTGGAAAATGTTCTACATCTACTTTTTCATCAGCTATTCTCATTAGGTTGCTCAAATGCGTGTTTGTTTCGTTTTGGTCGTTTATACCCACATTTGTTTAATTTTCATTTGTCCGTTTCGGAGTAGAAGATATTGGCTTTACGAGGTATTTGTCCATCTTACATTAATGCGCAAAAAGTTTGAACTTCTTACATGGAGAAACCTTACCTACGGTAAACACGTGGTTGCAGAGAAATGCGTTCTGAAAGAGGTTCCGTGGTTCCGAGGGATGGTGTTCTGTTGTTCTTAAAGGTTCTGAACAATGGTAAATAGGGAAGCTAGATAATAGGGCAGATGTTGAAAATAATGAAAGATCCAGGAGGAAAAGTGAAATCCATTCTAAATGGCGCAATGAGAAATTTTTTTCAAAATGCAAGAAATTCGCGAATTTTGAAATTGGTTTATAGAATGCGCGAATTTCTCGCGGTAATCATTTTTTAATGCGAGAAAAGAAAAAAAGATGCGATATTCTCGCATTCTCGCGCTGTAGTGAAAACACTGATGTCCAGTAAGATTCTGGCTTATCATGTCTCCGCCAACAAGCTGTTTTTTTACAACAGTTGTAAATAACCCAGTACATAAAAAATAATAAGTAAACTAAATACTTCAACATGCTTGTCCCACTAATATTTCGAAGGTTTTGAGACACTGGAAAAAAATAAACTGCAATTCAAGATGGTATGAACCCTATTAAGCTAGTTCTATGATCCATGTTTTTTAAAACTTTTATTAACAATTATTAAAACGAAACCAATTAAAAATGCATAAACTTAAAAACATGTTTAATATATTAACTAAAATCATAAAACTTTAAGGAATAATATGTTATATTTAGGTCATTTTTCTAGCAAAAAAGAAAATTACAAGAAATAAATGCAGAGAAAAAATATTTCAAAAGGATACAATGTGGTAATAGAGTTTGAGACACTACACCTTCTAGCTTACTGGTTATCACAGTTTCATCTAAACTTTGTTGACTAAGCATTTGGTTTTGGCGTAATAGTTTTATTTCCTTCTGCAAATTCTGGATATCGCAACGCTGGTCATGCATTATGTTAGTAAATGCACCTATTTTCTGTGTCATTTCATCAAGATTGTGATTGAATCTATAAAATAAAAACAAAATTGATTGAACACATGATGGCAGTAGCAGGGTTGCCACAGAAAAAATTGAACAAAAATAGTTGCTTTTAGTAGCCTCAAGCATGAAAATAGTTGCCTAAAATTTTGAAAATAGTTGCTTGAACAGGAACAAAATTTATCAGAAATAGTAGCCAAATAACTAAAATTATAGCTTAATTGTCAAATACTACGCTCCAATTAAAAAAAGGTTTAGTGCAAACATAAATGGTATACATATTAGAAAATAGGTACCTAAATAAAAGTCGAATTACAATAAAATATGAATGTTAATAGAAGGAAAAAACAATTAAAAATAACAAAACTGCCTCTCAAAGAGACAATATAACAAGTACTTTATTAAATCTAATGGAAATTTAAATTTTTGGCTCTTTCGACATAAATGATTGTATAAAAGTTTGCTTTCTTTTATTAACATTCTAAAAAGCAACGTTCATTTTGGCGAGAAAACTGCCCTAAAAGTAAAAAAGTATCCTAATAGTAGCCTATTCCTGAAAATAGTTGCTTTTTTTGGCCTTTTCAGGCAAAAAAAGTCGCCATAGTCGACTAAGGCCGAAAATAGTAGCAAATAGTTGCATTTCAGTAGTCTGTGGCAACCCTGCAGTAGTCATTTATGTCCAACATATAATAGTAAAGTATTAAGAAGTAAGTTTTTCCATGGTATTAGAATATGATAATTTTAACACTTAAAATTAAATAATTTCATTCTTGATCCTCATTTGTAATTCAGTTAACTGAATATTTACTATGACTTTTGGGATGGCTATTTGCCTCAAATTGATGTACATGCAAAATATTAAAAATAAAGCAACATATCATTTTATTTCAAACAATAATATTCTTAAAAATAAAACACAGGAAAAACTCATGAGTTACAAGATCATGAGTTAACTAATTCAGCTTTGCCTCTTTTAGTAAATAAACTTTAAGTGTTCTCTCTCTCTTCCCAAAAAATAAGTGGACCAAGTCAATTCATAACACTGCATCCGTTAATGCTAAATAATTCAACAAGCTAGATAACAAAGATTTAATATTGAAAACAAAAAAATACTTGCTTCAAGAGTTTGGAGCTCATATCTAATGATATATCTGAGGTTTCTCTGCTTTCAGCTTGAAAATGGGTAGGGCCCAAAAGTTCACTGCAATTTAAACTAAATAAATAAATGAATTTCTGGCAAACAAAAGAAATAATTAATATAACTGATTAATTAACATAAAACATAAAAAATATTTAAGTCTTCCAAAAAAGAAAAAACATTCCTATTTATATTACAACAATATGGATTTATTACCATCATCATCTTTCCGTATTTCGGAAGAAAAACTCTTTTCCCATTTAAATTATATTACGGATTTATAACCTTATAACCAACAAATTGATCGTCATCCAACCTTATTTTGGAAAAGAAAAAAAAACAACTCCTTTCTCATTTAAATTACATTAATATGGATTTATAACCAACATTTTAATCATCATCTTACCCTATTTCAGAAAAAAACTCTTTTTCTATTTAAATAACGTTTATAGGTTTAATTACTAACAATTTGATCAGCATATATCAGAATAGTCTTAGCTTTTTCAGTAGAATAAAATTTAACTTCTAGAAATTTTAGCTCTAAAACTATATTTCAATAAAGCGAAACATAAATACGAACAATGCCATATAAATAGATATACTAGTTTTAGTTCCATAATATTGAATCTTCTTCAGTGTCAAAACATAAATTTTAAAGTTGGCATTTTTGTACTTTTCATGTTATTCAGCTTTGTTAACAAAAAGAATTTAGTTGATCCTACCGTTGATTCCAGGTTTCCAAGAGATATGGGGAAAAAAAGGGAATTTAATCATAATTCAACCAAAAACTGAATATGAATACTCATAAGATAAGAAACATCACACTTTTTTAAATTGATGATTTTGTCAGTTGTCAATCATAAGCAAAATTCTAAAAAAGATTTCTATAATATCAGATAAATCAAGTTAAATTACTCAAAATAAGTAGGCATCTTTACTTCTAAAACTAAACTCTATATAAGTTAATCATCTAAAACTAAACTCAACTAAAATTCAGTGGCATGACAGCCCAGAGAGGGCTAAGGCCTACTGTGCCCATCTTAGTTTCCTCCTCTTTGGACTCTGGGGTGCAGAACCAGATGTTCCGGTTGGGTGATCAGCCGAAAGCAGAACCCCAGTGTTCAGTCCCCAAGCATGCTTGGTACTCATTTTATCGAACCACTGAAGGGATGAAAGGCTGAGTCAACCTTACCCGGTCCGAGGATTGAACTCAGGACCTGTGGCACGAGAACACGAAGCGTTTGCAACCACTCAGCCACAAATTAAGCCTCTAAGATAACAATATAATCTATTCCAGTCAATGTTCTAAACAATGCTAATATAACAAGACAAGAATACGAAGAAAAAATTTTTAAAATGTACTTGTCATTCATGTTCATGGCTGAAATCCTATAACTTTTAGTGTGATCAGGAGCCTGGGGCCAATCTTTCATGTGATATTCTTGATTCCTTGAAATTCCTGCAGCTTCAGATAAATTAAAATCTTCTAAACCATTCTCTTCATGTTTCACACTAGATGAATCACTGGGTATTTCATCTGAAATGAATATACAAGATCACTGTAACATTTAACTGCCATATCCATAATTTAAATATTTATAGTCTTTGTAAATAAAATAGGCATTTCAAGGTTATATGATTTATTCACTCTTCCCCTCTCCGTTACTATGGTATCCACAAAATTCAAACTGGTCACACGGTGACACTGTTTATTATTAAATGAAATGTATACTTTTACAAAACATTTTATTAGGAACTGAAAACTTTGTTTTTCTTAGTTATTTTAGCATGAATTAAGATATTACTTTTAAAAAAGAAATTACATGTATTAACTTAGCTAAACTTTTGTAGATGCTTTTTTTTTAGTTTATAAAACATTTGTTTGAAAATATTAAAAAAAATATTATATGGTGAATTTAACGTTGAAATTTATAATTTTATGAAGGTTTTTATTAAGAACTAAAACCGTTTTTTCTTAATTATTATTATAAGATGAATTGTCGTACCTGCCAACATAAGAGAAATAAAATAACGAAGATTTTACTAGCAACATTTTTTAGGCTTCAAGTAAAGTGTTTTAATACATCATGCATAATCATTTAAGTCAAAAAGAGAAATTCAAAATAGGAAATAATATAAGCACTTACATTTAACGAAGTAAAAAATATGTAAATAAATTTTCATCTAAAGAATACATTTTTAAACCCTTATTTATAATTACTTAAACTATTAACACTCAACATAAATACTGGCAATAACACTATCTGTTAAGGAATAAGATAAGCAATTTAGCCATCAGTAGATATTTTATTGCCATTTTTTTAAATAAATTTCTTCAACAAATACAGAGAAATTTAAGAATATACAGGTAAACAGGAGATAGTCGAAAAATACAGAAGTCTTCGTTAAAAAACAGGAGACTGGGCAGGTTGTAATTATGATCATCTAAAAAGAGAAATCCTTATAAACTTTAACTTTTTTACATACTTTGTTTAACTTTTTTTTTGGTTTATATGTTTGAAAATATTAAAAAAAATTTTTTTAAAAGAATTAATCATAAACCCAATACACTTGAACTAAAAAATTGCTGATCGAGAGTAAAGTTTACACAACTATAAGCAAACAAATGGTCTCCAATTAATACACTTACTGGGGAAAAAAAGTCTGAGAAAATACCTGGTGGCCAGAAGCCCTAAGATTGGACACAAAAACCTGTCACTCAGGCCCGAGAGTTGGTCAATCTGCAGTATAACTAACAAATAAAAAGAGTAATAAACATAACACAGAAAATATGTCACCTAAATTAAGAATCTTAATAGGTGCAAGAATTTCAGCAACTTCTCTGCTTGGTGAGCTAGTAGCACTATGCTGGGAAGACTTCCTTCTAACAAGAGATGAGGCCTCTACAACTTCGATACCCTCACACTTTGTAGACACATCTTCAGGGTGAGTGAACGAGTCGGGGGCCGAAAGATTTGTGTGGGAGGGAGACGTGAAATCATTCGGAGTGAGAAGGACTTCTGAGCAATTAGAATAAGTAGAGATATGGGAAGGAAGTGAGGTGGCTGCAGGTGGAGAAGTTATGGAGAGATCATCAATACATAAATTCTTTTGTAGAGATATGTCATCTTTACGGCTACGGCTGGATGTGTTCAGATCAACGCTAATGTCTGACAGGCCATCTTTATAAACTGCAACAAGAGAAAAATGTCATAAATTCATGAGCAGTTTATTATTTGTTAAATTAAATTTAGTATTTTTTTAACTTTCCTATCTTTTTTTTCTGATAATGCAACCTTAATAGGAAATAAAATGCAATTTCAAACTTAATTACAGGGTTCCCACTCTACTTCAGAAAAAAAAAATTCCCCGACTTTTCCAAGTATATCAGGTACAATTCAATGGTGATCCATACCATATTTTATAAATACCAAGCAATATTTCATCAGAAAACTTAGAATTTGTAGCCCTGTAATTATTCCTGGAAGTTAACTTAAGAAAAACTCTTACAATAAGTTTTCCTAACTATAATTATTGCGATAAAATTAATGCTTGTCATTATGTGATTGCAAGAAGCGAATAGCATGCAGAACAAAAAACATATACATAGTGCATTATTAAATAAATTATTAATAACAAATTACATTATTAAAGTAATTACATTATTAAAGTAATTACATTATTAAAGTAATTACATTATTAAAGAAATTAAACTTTACATATTAGTGAACTGTATCACATTTTTTAAAAAATATACTTAAAATATTCTTTCGGATAATATGGTTGAAAACTGCAATTCTTTTTTAAACTAAATATATTACAATTTTCCTTATATTTCTTTGCAAAATTATAACGTCTATCTGAAGTCTAAGATATTTTAAAACTAAATAAATGTGAATTTTAAAAGTCAATTATTAAATAAAAAATGAAAATTTTTCAAAAATCGAACAATTTTTTTTTTAAAATTATGAATAAGAATATAATACTGTAGGTAAAAACTAAATTTTGACCAGCATGCTTTCATATACAATGCATCAGATTGTTTAGTGATATTATATAGTGTATAACAGGGGTTTCCAACTTACATGAGGCCGGGGGCCACAATTAAATACACAAATCAAATTGCGGGCCGCAACTTTATCAAAATTTTTTGTGAGACTCTTTTATGTTTGAAGAAACATTAAATATTACTGTCAGAGTTTTACCAAGTTGTACAAAACAAAAGTATTGAATTACAAATTAAAATAAGAAGTAGATTAGTAAAAATATTTAATTGTTATTAATAATAACTTTAAAGATATAAATAAATAAAAATTTGGGCTACAATAACTTTAATGTGCACATATGTATTAAACAATTAATATGCAACAGATATCTAATTGTTAAGGTATTAAAACTTACATAGTAGCACACAAAATATTCAATGAGAAAATTGAGGTTTGTCTGCTGCAACCACCTGAGAATCGATATTTACATTTTAAATTTAAAATTTGCAAATGTGTCTGTAAATATTTTCGTCCAAAATGAGTGGTTTCAAAAAGTTAAATTGGAGAATTTCTTCGAGAAAATTTTTGAATGATACGCACATGCTAAATTATATTCACAAAATACAAAAAAAAAATGAAATAAAAAAGAGCAACATACATGATTATTTTTGTATTTGAATAAATATTTTCTTGGATGCAAAACTTGAAAAATAAATTTCTTTGCACCGTTGGTATGTTAAATTTCACAGAAACGAAGAAATTAGGTTTTTATTAACGAGAAAAGTATTTTAAACCCATATAGAATTTTTACGAAAATTGTCCGCAAAAAAATGACAACTAATATATTTTAGTTCGCGGGCCACAAAAAAAGACTTCGCGGGACGGATGCGGTCCCCGGGCCGCCAGTTGGAAACCCCTGGTGTATAACGACAGACAATTTTACAGTCATGTTAGTTGATGACATCAAAGGATATGCACATTTTTCAATTAAACAATTTCGTCTCTAGAAATATGTCTTGTTAAATACAAAAGGGAACTTAAATTGTACAATGAACCTATATAAAAGTGAATTTTTTACGTTCAAATCATCCCAAATATTAGCATTTATAAACAGTGATGTTAACTTTTATTCGAAAATTTAGAATGCATATTTAATATCAGATAAATATCAGAATATTGGATATTTTTGATTTTTTTTCCAAAATCCCTGACTGAATGCATTAGAAAATTAAAAACTAAATGTCATTTAAAATTCAAAATTATTCATTATTCAAGCACGAATTATTGAATAAAAAATTAAAGTTATGAAGCATACAGTAAAATAGAAATAGAATAAAAATATTTCTGTGAAAATGCAGTACATTTTTACATTCCAAAAGAAAAATAGATTCTAGTTTACATGACTCGATATTTAAATGTGCATTTTTATGTCAAAATAAATGTATAAGAAATAATACCATATGAATCTTGTGACAATGAACTAATGGATTCGGCAGACATTAAGGGTGAATTCATTTTCGGCTGATAATAGATTTTTGAAGACTGAAGAGCTCTAAAAGTAAACACATGAAAAATTACAACTCAATCATTTTAGATTTATACAAACATGACGTGCTTTAAAATCAATATACTATACTTTGTTTGTATCCAGAACAGCTTCAAAATGTATTTTAGAGATTCATCAGCATTGTTCAACTCATCTCCAGCTTGTTCGATATCACCTTTAATATCAATCAATATGATTAACATCAATATGATTAACATCAATATTCTTTCCACAACAACAACCTCAACAACAGTTATTATTTTAAAACTGTTTATCTACATTTTTGTTCTAATTACTTAAATTTAAAAGTAGTTTTAATTATCTTTTTCAGCAATTATCACTTTTAAGTCATAGGACAAGCTGTAAAATTGCCTAAGTCGGTTTACCAACTCATGGAACAAAGTTATTTATGGCATAGTTATTTTTTAGCATATTTTTGACAAAATAAATTGAAGCTTTGAATTCAACAGCTTTGTACAAATATATAAACAAGAATTCTTTGCCTTTATTGTTTACTTCACAGTTACAACTTTATTTTCCTTACATATTCAGGAGAGGGAAAATAGCGCAAGTCTTGTTCACATTGTAGAGGTCTAAACAAAAAATACTAATTGTTCAGAAAAGTGAATAACGTTGGAAGGAAAAGAGAAAATTGTGTTTGAGAAATTAAAAAATTCATTCAAATTCAAATCTGGAATATTGCAAAAAGGTATTATGATCGATTTACAAACGAGACACGAATAGAAAAGGCTTAAAAACAAAAAAAACAACAAAAAAAAGCTTTATTTTGAAGAAATCAAATAAAAGGTATCACTGCTTTCTTACACAAAGTTATAACAATTTGGGTATTTTTTCCGAGCGCTTGTTTATTATATGAAAAAAAGTTATGCACACATATATGTTTCATGAAAATGCAATAGATAGAAGCTTTTACAATGCATGACTTTTATTGCTAGTAATGATTTATTTGAAACTGCTACAAAAAATACAAAAGGTAAACATATTTTAATTAAAATTCATGGATAGATTTAATTACAAACGAAGCAAAATGTCATAAAAGTTGTAAAGATGAAATTTCTACTCCACTACATAAAGATGCTTACAAGTCATTTTGTGCAGCTATTGTTGAACCCATAATAATGAATAATTCAGAGGTAGTGCAAATGAACAAATTATCGAAAATTTTGAGCAAGACTGTGATAAAAAATAATTAAGTGGGAATGATTTAGATATAAGCAATAGGCAGCTAAAAAGGTGTTTGCAGCGATTTTCCTCAGCAAGTGTTTGTAAGACAAAAGCAACAAAATCTTTCTGAACTTGTTTTAAACAGCAATGTTTCAGATTATGTAGTTTTTTTTCCTGCTAGATTTAAATAAGATTCTAGATTTAACTGAATCAACAGAAGCAGAAGATGTCACTTCTTGTACATGAAAATGAAACAATAACAGATAATTATAATAGTGAGGCAAAAGGATTTATAAATAAGTCAGCTTAATTTTACAGCAAAAGATCTCAGAATCCCATCTTTAGATTTATTTAACCCCCAACTGCTGATAGTTTAAAGCTCCCAACAGTTGAAAAAATTATTCCTTCCTAGCTTTTTAACTTCCTTGCTTGGTGTATAGGAGATACAAATTTCAATACTTTGTAAAAACATGTGATAGTACAAAGACTAAAAATTTTTCAATTGCTCAGGATATAATTTATTTGACATCAGCTGAATGGAAACAAAATTAAATACTCAATACAATGAAAAGTAAAAATTTATATATATTGGTGCATTAAAAAAATTAGGAACATCATGGACTTTATCAAATACTCTTACGTAAATTCTTAAAATACTAATTTGTGAACTATATAGACAGCCTATTAAAACGCACATATTGTTCAAACTGAACTACCACCAAATTATTTTGTCTTAGCGTGCCACATAAAAAGAGTAAACTATCAAGCATACATTGATCGTCAGTTTCAAGAACATGATAGGTAGGTTTCCTGAATCCAACAAAGCATGGATAGATAGTAAAGGAAGAAAATTTAAGCCTTTGTTGTAACAATACTCCATTTGTACCAAATGGCTTGCTAAAAAACACTGTGCATGCCGAATTCCTCCTGTTTAATAAGTAAATGTACGAACAAATCAAACGCAATTTCTTGAACCAATTTATATGCTTATGTACTAATTGGGGAAACTACAATGGACAAGAAAATGAATGCTATGACAGGGTTCCCACTTTTTTAAAAAGGCAAAAATTAAGGACTTTTTTTTGAAGAAATTAAGGACTTTTCTTTTTGAAAAATTAAGGACCTTAAAAATAGTATGATTGTTCATCATTTTGAATATACATATACTGTAGGGAACCGATTATCCGGAACGATCGGGACCATCGCTATTCCGGATAACTGATTTTTCCGGTTTTCTGAATTGCTACAAAAAGCCATTTTTTTATTGTTAAACCAAACTAAAAAAATATATATATATATTTGAAAATAATCTTAAAAAGAAAAAACGATGAAGTAACACACTAATGATTATTTCCGAAATGATGGTAAGGTAAACATCTTTCAAAAAAGAAAGAAAATTCCTAAAATCTTAAGAGGGAAAAAAAAATTTTTTTTAAATTGCGGGAAAATTTATCGAATTTTGTTCCGGTTTTTTGATTTCCGGATAACGGGTCCTGTACTGTACCACCAGTTGCAGTACCTATTATATACCTTTCTAAAAAAATCAATAAATAAAAAACAATTTCATTATACTGTAAGAACTGATATATTTGTATTAAATAACAGGGTTCGTCAAAATAGGACAAAGCAATTTTTGCAAATCCGGGTTGGGTTTTTCAAAAAATATTTTCAGATTATTAAGGGTAAACGACATCTATGAAACTAATCCTCATTCCATTTTTAATGATTTCATTGACATTGAATTGCATAATTAAGTGATACTTCTTTATTTAGGACTTTACTTCATTCCTATAAGCAAATACCAGTAAAATTTAATTTCTTGAAATCCGTCAATTTTGACGGTCAGTGTGGGTCTTTTACTAAGGTACCTTTGAACTGCTCCCCCTTGCCCACACTCAATTCTTTTTTTTTAGAATGCTTCACTCACCCTCACAGAGTATCACTCGAGGCAAAAGGAAGAATATATTAATGAAAGAACTAATATATTAATGAAAGGAAATGCTTTCTTCCCCTTGCCTGTAGCCCCCTCACAGACATCCCTTTTTGTCTCTCTAAATTGCTCTACCCTCGATGCATGGTCTCATTCTAGGTGATAAAGAACAACTTTTTGTTATAAATATTTTTGTAAGACTGAAAAAATTGTTACTAACAAGTATAGTGATGCTGAAAAATTAGACTTTTAAAAACCTTATACCAAAATTAAGTACTTTCAAGGGCCCTTATTTTACAAAATAAAAATTAAGCAGTTTTTAAGGACCGTGGGAATCCTGAATGACAATTTAGATGATCAGGTGATTTTTTCAGACGAAAATTTTCCACAATAATTTAAATACATAAAAAAAAATTTATTAAAATTTTTCTTACTTTAATTCGGACTGACATAAACAGGAAAATCTCTTTTTATATGAAAACGAATATTCCTCAAAATAAATACCCTTATATTGTTAAAAAATTATAATGAAATACTTTTCTTCGGGGTGTATTTATTAAGTGCAATATTAACATTTAAGATATTATATTACCAACATGAAATGTTTTGTTAATTTCATATCTAATTTTAAAAAAAGTAATCTCAATCTTCTTTTTTGAAAAGTATTTTACTAAGCCAAAACACTGAAAATATCTTGAAATTGTATATCTTGGGTACTACTTTAACCTTGTGCAAAAAATTCTTGGTGAACTTTGTGTTTTTCAGTTAACAAGCACTATTTAAACATATATACAAAATATTTTAGTTTCCTGAGATGGCAAGCGTAAACTGATTTTTAGCCATCCTTCTTTGCTTTGTCCCATGACCTATTTGTATGATAATTGCTAATAAGTTGTAAATATTAAATACCAATACTGTCAATTTACATAAAAAATCTTTGACATTTATACTTATCAGTTTTTAAACAAAGGATATATTTTTGTTATTACCTAAGAAAAAATTTTAAAAAAATTTATTTTTCCTTATTGTATTTCTGAATGTTTACTGAGTGTAACATTTATATATCCAAATTATGAGGTAAAGATACGTATTGCTGAATCATATGTTAATGTATATTTTATATTTCATCATGATTTTTTTTTTCCTTTACAGAAATTTAAAATTTCTATTTATATTAAATTGATAGCATAAAATTAACGAATTACAGACATTTGCATACCTTCATCATCAGAATTCTTATCTTCTGAGAAAGACTGGGACTTTGTATAGCTAATACTGGATATGGCTAAACTGAGGATTGGGAGAGATACTCTATATTCAGACAGAGAACATATCATGGCAGAACCAGACACAGGATCTTGCATTATGTACATGATTAATACAGCCTAAAAAAAAAAAGAAATTTTACTTTTGAAACAATTCACACCAGAAAAAAAAATTTGATTGTATTCATTTTATTTATTTATTTTGCAAAGATCAATGCTGCCTTTTTAACAAAAATTAAGAAGCACAAAAGCTAGGGTTCATAAAACAGACAACATTTGCGGTGCCATACAAAGTCATCTTTGTATAAAACAAGGTGGGAAAAAATTAAGCGTAACAGAGGAAAAAAACAACATGTTTTCAGTATCAGCATAATAACAGAATTCCCACTTAATTTCTTTAAAAAAAATTCCTTGTTTCCTAGTTTTCCACAAAAAATTGATCAATCCACAAATTATTGAGAAATTATCTATGCTACTATCCTCTACTGTAATATATTTTTNTTTACTTTTGAAACAATTCACACCAGAAAAAAAAATTGGATTGCATTCATTTTATTTATTTATTTTGCAAAGATCAATACTGCCTTATTAACAAAAATTATTAAAAAAAATTAAGAAGCACAAAAGCTAGGGTTCATAAAACAGACAACCTTTGCGGTACCAGACAAAGTCATCCTTGTATAAAACAAGGTGGGAAAAAATTAAGCATAACAGAGGAAAAAAAAACATGTTTTCAGTATCAGCATTATAATAACAGAATTCCCACTCAATTTCTTTAAAAAAAAATTCCTTGTTTCCTAGTTTTCCACAAAAAATTGATCAATCCACAAATTATTGAGAAACTATCTATGCTACTATCCTCTACTGTAGTATATTTTTCATAATTTTCTTCCATCTTTTTATACATATAATTTATAGCATTACTCTTGGTCTTGATATTATTACTCCTTCTGTACATATCTTTATATTTGCCTCAAACCAGGCAAAGAAACTTTAGCATAGTATCAAAATGTTCACCTACTTTACGATCTTATGTTTACCTGTACATTAATATTAGGATAACACAAATGATAGTAAATTATTTTAATACGAAAATGTAAACTAACTCTTCGTTTGATGTCAGAAAGAAACAAAAACTTTGAAGAATGATCCATCTCTGCTTTTAAAACTGGCTCGATTACATCTTCAGAATTAGGACGAATCCTGAAAAAAAAGTGATTTATTTTAATGGATTCCATTGAACAAAAAGTTTACAAAACCTAAATTAAAATTTAGCATATTTCATTAATAATTTTGTTATTAATCATAAAAGAACTATAAATGACTAAATTTACTATTTTTTTATATTATTTTGACAACAAAAAGATTTCCTATAAAATTTATACCAAACTAAACTTTTAAACCGTAATTACAAAAGTTTAAGGAAAAAAATAAATACCTAATTGTTTGCAAGCAGTTCCAAGATTCGCAACTCCAAAGCTTTAGTTCAGTGTTATTTTCAGCACCTGTCACTGCAAACTTCCAAAATTGAACACTGCAATATTAGGAAATCATAATTTGAAACATTATTGCTCCAGTTAAGAAAAAATATTTTCATCTATATTTGTAACACAGCATCTACAGTTTATTTTTCCTCAATAGTCTAAAAAAAGCAAGCAAAAGTGATCCAAAAAGAATTATTTTTCTTTAAATGTAGATATAGTCAGAAAAAAATAAAAGGGGAAATAAAAGTTTATAACTAAAATAAAAAGCAAATTGACAAATATGTTAAATGAAAAAAATAATAAAATAAAGCAAAAGAAACAATATTGAGTTCCTGAAAAAATAGAAATATTGAATGCACAGTGACTTTCCTAATATAAATTAACATATTCACCAATCGTTATGGTACTATAAAGCATCTCCTTCAGTTTCAAAACACAAAATGAAACTGTCTTTTATTCAGTGCTCAAACACTGAAAAAATTGCTTCATCATTGTACTGAAACTACTGTATATAGGTTAAGGCTAGTCTTATTAATTGTGCTTTTTCCCACATTATTTTATCTTTATTTACAAACATCTAAAACTTAACCCTTCCAAGTCTTATAACTATGTTCACATTAATGATGTAAGCTAACAATGAAAATAGCTGCTACTAAAGCTTCATAAAATTTCTTACTCTGGCTTATGATTCTTATGGTTGTCTAGGAAATACAAGGATGACAATGGTTTATTGTTATGGGGAATCCACTTGTGTAAACATCTAAAAAAGAAATAGATTACATCAAATTATAGATTTTGTAAAAATATAAGGTCAAATCTTAACTTTTAATATTAATAACGTTCATTTCCATGCATAACTCGACTGCATAAACCCCTAAAATTGTAAGAAAATCATAAGGTCGACTTATACATACGTAATAAAGTCAGACATTCATTTCTCGTGAAGTATCAATCCCTTGTAAACAATGAGATCGATATGAATAACTATCAATTTACCCCTTTCAAAAACCTTAATATGTCATATAGAATTAATTAAAATTTTGCCTTTTCTTTCATCATAATTTCTTCATATACAAAGGTTCTTTCAGAAACCTTCATTTAGAAAAAAAATTTAGAATAAAAAAATTAACATAATTTATTTAAGAATATTTCGAAATATATAACAATGAAAACTTCAAAAACATTCCATAAAGTTACAAGTGTAAAGATTCCAGAAAATCATCTGTGTTGAATATAATAGCCTTATGCATCTTTAGTTGAAAGCAAAGGTATCATTATTATAAACATTTCAACAGTTTTTAAATATTGAATTTTTATTTATTTTTTTAAAATATAACAATTTCAGGTTAAATAGAACTTTTAATCAAGTCTTAAAATACCTAATTAACTAAAAACTTTGTTTAAAGTGACACTATAGATCATCACAGGTGGAAATGTAATAACAAATTGTGATGGAGATGTATTTGAGGGCAAATTTATCATACCCAGAAACAACAATGTGAATTATTTTTAACTTGAAAAAATTTTGCTTATGCATAAAATATTTAATTTTAAAAATATTCAAATTTATTTTTTTAGCAGACAATTTATACACCCGATATCAGAAATTTCAATCTCGCAATAAAAAATAAAGGATTAACATACATAAACAGGTCGGCAAATACATCATATACATAGTAATTCCCTAATTAAATACTTGCAAATATTAAAAATATGATTTTAACACTTTTTAAACGTTAAACGTTTATAAATTTTTTTTTTCAAAAATAAAACAATTGGTTTAACGTGACACTATAGATCATCACAGATAGAGATGTAATCTAGCAAGCTACCTTGGAGACTCATCTTGTTCAGGAATATTGACTTGAAAAAAATTAACGACTCCATCAGTACTAGCAATGGCAATCGCGGTTCCATCTGGTGAGAAAGTTGCAGTTGCGATTGGCTAAAATTACACACAATTCATGAATTATAAAAGTGAAATAATGATGATGACTAGAGCAACACAATATGAAAACAGTTTGTTGACGAGTCGGCATTATAAAACGCAATTCTTAATTTTTAAAATAAATATTAAAAGAGCAAAACTAAATGCATGTACAGTATAATATTATAGAAAATATATCCAAATTCAATTTGTGAAACAAATTTCGGATCTTTATATACTTTAATGCTAAGCAAAAAAGTAGGATTAAATTTATAAATAAATAAATCTTAATTTATAAATTTAAACTTACTTACCTCTTTATGATCTTTAATAACCTGGACACCACATTTAACTTCTTCTTGTTTCAAATTTCCATGACCATACTTTTTTATGACAGTATCAATATCCCATATCTCAGCCTAAATGACAAAAAAAGAAATTTCTTATAATTAATGATAAAAAACACAATTAAACTGTTAACGCTTGTTTGAGAAAAATATTTTCTTTACAAATAACACTGCAGATAACAAAAATAAGTACTAAAAAATAATCTCACATAAAAAATTAAACAAACAAAATGAGTTGAATATTTTGCAAATAAACTTACAGTGTCTAACATCAAGTTGTTTTATGTTTGATGCCTTTAAATAAATTAAAAATAAAAAAAAAAGTTCTCCATTATGTTTTTTATTTTCTAACATTTTAGAACTGTTGTTGAACAATAGACCCAATTTTTGGGTTTACGACTACTAATGTTTAACTTTGCAGCTTTGTAATTTTGAACCCAATCCAGAAGATAAGGGAACTCCTGGATCAAGTATTGGGAGAAATTTGCCTTCATGGAGGACTTTTTCGATGTAACTAACTCACATTTACGTTACATGGAGAGGAAGACCTCGAGACACTTAAATATTTGAAAAGGCAATTAGAGAGACATTGAATTTTTTTCATAAACTTAATTTTATTTGCAAATGTACAAATATAGGTAACTAATAAGTAAATATCCATTTCGACATAAAAAATCAATTTTTAGCACAATTCATAATTTTAAAAGTAAAAAATCAGATGTACACTCAGCCATATGTTTAATGGATGCTAAAAATTGAAACAGATTAAGAGATGAAACATATTGATAACAATATAACTTGAGTGAATAGCTTTTTTTTCATACCATACAAAGCTTTTTTTAATAAATTTTTTTTTCTTCACATAATATAATTCATGTTTTTGGGATTAAAAAAAAGGGTTAAAATATATGAAAATTTTGGATATTGGCTACTATTTTCGCACACTCAGTGCCAATTCCTTACTTCTGCATGAAAAGTCCTTTTTAGAAAGTTTTGAACAGATATGGCAAAAAACGGAGAAAAATGGTTATGTTGATGCAAAAGAATAAAGAGAAGAAAAAATATCATGAAAAACTGCTTATTTTTATTATGACTGTAGCTCATCACTTAAAGATGTGTGGCGAAATCATCGTACTTGATTCTAAAAGTTCATGCTCTGGCGAACCTAAAATATGCAATCTACGCTCAAAGTAATTTTTGTTATCTATTTGAACTGAACTGAAGTTCAAGAAATAAATCGCGGTAATCTCAATCTTCGTTACCATCGAAACCATTTTTGCGATACTTTGTTCTTTTTCTCTACTTTTCTTTACTTTTCTTATCTCTTTTTTCGGTAACCTGCCTTACGTTTTCTTCAGCTTTTACTTGTTCAATTATTCTTCTATGGTGTTAATTTTGTTAAGTTTTCATTAAAATTATGTTTAAATTTAGCATTTCTCCCAATTATTTTATCTTTGGTGACAGACTCAACTGAACACGCAGACTCATAAATAACGCAGCCGTTTTCTCGCCAAAGATAAGTTGAGCAAATCACGTTCGAAGGTCACCAATGTGGGGGGCGGAGTTAATCGAGAATACCAACCGTCATCTATCAAAAGGTACCTCGTGATAGAATCAAGTTAGCATGCTTTATATACTAGTGAATGATGTTAAACTTTTGTAGTGGTAGTTACGCCACAATATCATTACTTGAAATATTGTCTGCAATTGTTAATTAGCATACTTGAGGTCCTCCTTTCTATCCTGAAGATCCGATCATCAGATCGAAAGTTATTGGGGTGTTTTTTTTTTGGGGGGGGAGGGTACACTGTACATAATCTTAGCTTGATTTCGAGACACTATAAAAATAGTTTCTATCATGTTATCTTAAAAACACATTATTTCGGTAGTAAAATTAAAATGTCTATTTTAAGTATATTTCGACTCGAATTATTTATTTACTTATTTTTCTTATATTTTTTAACAATTATTGGCATTAAAATTTCTTTACGCTTACTTTCATTAATTTATGTCTTCTTGTAAGAAAATATAAATGGATAAAAATTCTGTTCGCAATTCGTAAAATATATAAAACATTTTTGTTGTTTTTTTTGTCATAAACTCGTTTTCAATTTTCAACAAATTTGATTGAGTAAAAACTTTTTAGACTCTACTTTTGCAAAAATTGATTTTTTTTCCTACTCTATCACCTAATTGTTTGTGTAACTTTATATTCCACAGAACAGAAATACGATCCTTTCTGAAATGATAGTTTTTATTATAATTTCTTTTTTTCAAATGACACTTATTCAATCAAAGAAATTCTGAAAGGGACGATGGAATAAAAATTCAGCCCCGATGAAAGAGTAAAGTCCTTTTCTTACTTTCTTCATCCCTTTGAGCGATGATTTATAATGCAATTTCAAAATTTTTATTCTTAAAATATCTTTGATAGTACAGCGGAGCATTTTTAAATTTAAGAAAATATAATGATTAATGATTTTTTTTATATTATCAACTCAATTTTTCTTCGAAATTAGCAAAAGAAATCAATTTATGCGAAATATTTGCATAACAAAGTAAATGTCCCTGCTGATAGTTTTATATACTCATTTTAAACTTTGAACACTAATTTTAGAATAAGTAAATTGAAAGTACTCCATATTAAAATTATTTTAAAGATAGAAAACCGTTTATTAGCCATTCATAATGAAACACATCGCGCTTTTCTCTATGAATAAAACTTGCAAAACCTTATTTATTTTAAATATATAATTTTGTTTCTTATATTCATGAAGTATTGTTTTTCTTAATAAAAAACACGATTTAAAATGAAGTATTATTCTACATATATCAATATAAATTTTCTGTTTATTCCGGACAGTAATGAATAAAAAGTTTCTTTAAAATAAATCATAAAAAAAGCTATATTTTTTTCTATTTCTATTAATGTTATAATTCGCAAGTTTGTTTCATTCTTGGAATAACTATCCCAGATAGCAGTGTAAGTGTGATTAGTTAGTAAACCATGAAAGCTTTTAACAATATTAAATTTATCTAAACTAGTTTACCCTCTATGAGGTTCGAATCAGGCTTGCATAAACAACCTTTTTGCATTAAGTGTGAATCTGAATTTATAAAACAATGCTAGAAAACTTCTGCAATCGAGAATGAATTGTCATTCGTAATTCAAAAGTAGAAAGCTTTATCAAACCAAAAAAAAATTCGCCTTCTCAAGTTTTATTTTGGATTTTATGACCATCATTGAAGCAAGGTTTATTTTCACATGTTTTTATATACTCTTTTTAAAACTTTAGGAGTGAGGGTTGTCTTGTTCATTAAATTTTCAACACTAACAAAATGCTACATTTGAAACCCTGGGCAATGCTATAAAAAATGAGATTTTGTAAAATTTTTTGCGAGCCTTTATTCAATCTTTAAGAAAACAAACATGGTATATTAATTTTTAAATGAAGTTGAAAAAATGATTGATTAGTCTATTTTCCATGCCAAAAAATACAAATACAATGTTTCTCGTAAGTTTTCCTGTTATCTGGGACATTTTGTTATGATAAATTAAATTTTTAAACTTTTACAAACAATTGTCTTCATCATTTTCTTCCAAAACTGTTACTAGAAAAACTCGAACTAAGTAAGAAGAAAGCTAGTATCTCAATCAAATTGAAAGAGATCAAAGCATTAATTACTTTTTCTCATCGATACTGCTAAACAAACTTGGAAATTAAATCAGAGAAAACTGATACTAATGAAAGACAAAAACGAATTAAAGCTTTATCCAATTTCTGACACTTTCTTCTTCTATTTTTTACTACGCCTTCTTAACAGAAATCGGACATTTGCAGTACTGGGACGAAAAGTCAGGAAATCGAATTAAATGTTCGAAAAGAAGATGGAAATGGTAAAAGTAAGGAAAAAAAAGTAACGGAAACAGCTTCGAAGAAACAATGTTTTCCCTTTCATTTCTTTTACAACTGACTACTTTTGGAGCGATGCCATCCTTCAAGACAAAAAATAAGATGTCTGATAATAAATATGGCTTTAACCTCAGTTACCCCCCAAAAAGAATAGTTCCAGTTGTCCCGGAAAATACTCTTCCAGAAGACACAACTTTGCTCTTAGGCCTTAGTCTGGTTTCAACTCATGCAGAGTTAATATTTCAAAGTGGTTCCTAGGATGTTTCAGATTTCTCTTTTCCTTATCTGGAAGACTCTTGTCTCTAGACTTGTGGAGATATTGAGAACATTTGCATTTAATACCACTTTCACGACGTGACTTGATTTTAAACGACGTGATATATTGCTCTGCTAATAAAGTTGAAGTGAGCTTATAAATTTGCAGGAGTAATAGAATTGCCTGTCTCTAGATTCTGGAGTTAATCCCCTGAATTTTAAGTCCCTAAAAATTTTCTTAAATATACTCAATTATTTTCAAAGGCATATCTTTTTAATCTCAAAAAGTGTTTTGAGTTGAATGACAGAATAAGAATAGAACAGGAATGGGAATGATTGATGAGAATGGAAAAGAGTCAGCGTTGTTCATTAACTATGCAAAGTAATTAAGATAAGGTAAAAAGAGTTTGGTGTGGCTAAAATCTGTGTAAAATATTACATCTGAGGGTCCGAAAGGTTATTTTAGAATGAATTTCTTAGGGCTTGAATAGTAACTGAAAGGAACACTTTTATATTTCCCATCAAAGTGAATAATACTGAATGAGAAATTCAAACATTTTGTAAATTTAAGTGAAATTTAAATATTTGTTGAATGACAGAATAAGCATAGAACAGGAATGACATGGATGGATATGAATGGAAAAGAGCCAAGGTCATGCATTGACTATGCAAATTAATTAAGATAACTTAAGAATGAGCTGCAGCTAAAATCTCTGTAAATTATTATATTTGAGGGTCGGAAAATATATTTTAGAATAAATTTATTGATGACTGAGCAGTAACTGAAATTGGAACCCATCAAAATAAATAATACTGAATGAAAAATTTAAATATTTTAAAATTTTAAACAAAATTTAACCATTTTTTGAATGACGTAACGTAACGAATTAACGCAATAATTTGCAGTGGCAAAAATTTCCGTAATATA